AACTTCATTCAACACTAAATTCGAACCTCCTGCTCGTGAAAAAAGCATAACCTACTTGAGTTAAGTTGCACATTAAACTTTACTGTAATAATTACTTGGTCTGGTGGTCCACTCTTTTGAGTACTTATATTCAAAACTGCTCAAGTTTAAACAATAAGAAAAATTCTCTTGTGATTGACTGGAAGTTTCAGGAAAGAGGACACTTGGTTATTTTTTTTTTCCAAAATAAATTTTTCAAAAAGAAAAAACTGTTTCCATTAAAATAAAATATATTCAATAAGTACAACAAATAACACTTTTCCCAATGGTACAAATGGACGTATTTCTATCAAACGAACCTAAGCGCCATAGGGTGAGGAAGGTAGAGGGGGGCTTGGATTGGCGGCGGAATCGGGCGTCCGGCTTCTTCCGTCCTATACTCGCAATGCTTTTCCATGGCGCTTAGGTCTGTTTGACAGAACGCGCTATCCGGGATTCGAAATTCCTCAAAAGGAACTCAAATTGGCGCTTAGTTCCGTTTGATAGAAATACGTCCAAATTACATATTGGGTAACTAAAAATTCAAAATAATAATTGACTTACATCCAAATTGGTGTGACACAATTCACAATGGAAAGGATTACTCTTCCTCCCTTGAATTATTTCTTTGGAAATTGAGATAGAAAATTGCACACACGAATAAATTTAACTCATTTGAAATACTACCATTTTAGGCTAGTTTATCCGATTCTTTATGACCTTCACTAAAAAAATCAAGACAACTAAGTAGCGAACAAAATTTAGATCGCATTTAGCAGGAGGGAGCTGAGGCAATTTCAGTATTTTCAAAATCGCACAAATCCCCTTTACTTTATAAAATACTAAATATTTGTACAATAATAAGATTGACAGAATCATTTTTCTTCAATACCCACACTTCTTTGGTAGAAAAACAAAAACTGCTAGCTGCTCTAGGCATTTTTCTTTGATAAAGATGCAATGCAGATACACGATTTGTACATTACTGAAATCGCACTGGTTCCCTTCTGCTAAATGTGATCCATTTTCACATTAGGTAAACAAAAATTGGAGCTGCAGAGGCAAGATCTGTCAAAGTTTGAAATGAAACAATGAATAACAACATGAACACATTGACACAAACGGTGAATAATCATAAAATACCATGAGAATTGTATGGAAAAATAAACAAAACAAATTGTAGGATTTTTTTAAAGAAGAATTTGTGAAGAGTAAAAAAGAGCCTAAGAAAAGACTTTGACGTTCAATCAAAACAAGTCCTCCCACGAAATTGGTTCCTACAGCATTGTTCTATGTATAATTTCACTGATGTGAAAATTTTACATACTAATTTTCTTCTTCCTCATCTTAAATTAACTCAGCTTTGGAGTAAAAATGCGAGAGTACCCATTCAGGTTTATTTCCACATCTAATGAGTACATAAAATCAAAGGAGGAGAAATAATTTTCATGAAGTTACATGAGGAGAACGATACTCAATACATTTTTACAAATACATCTGGTATTTTAGAGAGCACTAAAATTATGTATGTACTTGCTTCCTAATAATTAGGTGGTAGAATGAAGTACGAGCTTAAATACATTCAAGCAGGTTACTCCTCAGTTTAAAAACTAGGAGAAAAACATTTTCAACTTTAATCCTACAACAAATTGAGAGCCGAATAAGAAGTAGAAATCATTGAACATTACCACAAAAATTATAATTGTGAGGTGATATGGGATTTAAAATCGATTTTATAGTTGGACTGAGTTAAGCAGAAAGGAACCAACCCACATTTTGGAAAAAATTGAGTTATGAGTGGTTTTGAACTCAACCGTTGCTCTACTATCTACTGCCAAAAATTCAAAGTTTTTGTTGGAGCAAATTTTGCAGAAATTGAACTTGAAGTTTATCTTTTACATTGAGTCTTATGCAGGAGCCAAACTTTAAACCTCTTTTTCTCGGTTCGATCCCAATGTGGCTTGGTTCCTTTCTGTTTAACTCCGTCCAGTTATGATCTAATTTCAGAAAGAGAACAGTGGACCACAGGATTAAGTACGAATTTTCAGCATTGTGATACACATTTCATCTTCAAAATTTCATACTAAACAAAATCTCCACAATGAAAATTACTGAAATTAACTCCAGACTTAGATATTTACGTTCTTATTTAGCACTGATTATGACTTTGAGTTTCCTGCTCGCAAGAAAAACTAGACTGTAGACTGTAGTCTACAGAAATCGAATTGCATACTACAACGATTTTGGCAGGTTTCTGAAACGCAGTGTTCCTTCCCTGCCCACCATGTTATTGAAAATGTAGTATACTATAGTATATATAAACAGTATACTGTACTACCTACATTAACTATAAATATATTAAGTAACAGCGCGAGTAATCAGCGTGAGTCGAAGCGCTGTAATTGAGGTTGTCATATTTTCATAATGCGCATACTGTTACCATAATGTTCAGTGTGCATTTAACTTCAGTACATTATGGTCTTTTTAGAGGTATCGAAAAACGTTAATAACTTAGTTAGGAGTAACTTTCAAGAATTTTTGGTGCAAAAATCATATTCTACATGCAAGTTTGATATGAAACCTTATATAATAATGCTTGAATTTGCACCTCGTCTTATGGTCATCTCATGAAGAAAAGAACTGATAGTGTTACTTCAGTGGCGGTAACCAAGTTTTTGACTTAAAGACCTCTTGCCAGTTGTACATTTGAGTAAAACAAAAATCAATGAGCTGGAAAGAGATGGACACAAGATTGATGTTTTTTAAAGTCATTATGATCCATGAAAGACTGGTGATCCAAGGCAAATAAGAAAGAGAAAGTAATGCATAGAAGGACATTTTGATTGATTGGCATCCAAAAAATCAAAATTCTGTCAACCAAATTTTCAGTGTAACGATTTTCACAAAACAAAATCCTGTCTTGCCGAAAAATATGTTGCATCTTGACCTGTCCAAAGGCTCCAAAGTCCTATTTATGACTAACAAAGAGTTTAGTGTCGCTGCCTTGCACATGAAAGAGCTATAAGCATATCTCGATTGCATTGTCTCAGTATATTCCTTACTGACATTTTATTTTTTTACTAGAGAATCGTCACATGAATTTACTGGATTTTTCTCTACACTTGCTGGGAAGAAAAGAAACTAGAAGTTTAAGGAATATTCGTGCGATGGTTCTCCCATGAAAAAATATAAGTTCGGTATAAATACTGAAACAGCAGAGACGAGATACGTTCCTTCATATGGGAGACAACCTTCTTGCACTTTTACTTTTGTTGAGACTCAATCAAAGTCGGTCAAAACATTCACTTCAAGATCAGGAAGACGTAGGTACAAAAAGCCACTACAACTTAGATCATCTAAGTGTTACAAAATTGAAAAGAACATATAACGAGGTTTACAATTATTGTCAAAGATGAGAATCACAGATACTTTTGCGACTAAGGTACCAAATCTACAACAGAATAAATTTTGTAACGAATAACAGTGATGCATAATTAGTAACTAGGCCAGTCCAAAAACTTATTTTACCAAACATAAAACACATAATGTAGACAAAGTGTCAGGTATCAATTAAAGTACATGTCTTGAGAGACAATTAAAATACATTTGAGAGTTGGGAAGTGTGACATCTCGACTCGTTGTTTTATGCTTTTTTGAGCCAAAATATTTGGTCATCCTTAGCTAGACCCAAGAACAGAAATGAAAATAATATCATTTATTTTTTTAATGTGTTCCTAAAATTTTTTAGCCGTGGCAGTAAGAGCTCCCCCGAGAGGTTACATCAAAATATGCATCGAAATTTTTGCGTGGTTCCTACACCTCAAAAATGATCAAAGTTCTTTGAATGGACAACAGATAAAATGATAAACGATTCAGAGGAGTCAAAGAAAAATACATGGCACAGTACAGATTGCACAACTTCATTTAAAAGAGACACATCTTCGAATGAAATTTAGATGCAACAATTACGTAAAGAGACGGCGGACTTCCTAAACGCCTATTGAAAAAAAAATTCAATTCTCGAGGGATTAAAAAACTTAATATTTTCATTAATTGGGCTTTTTAGACCAATCCGGAAATTTTAATAACATTTAAAATATATAGTTGGGTCAAGAATGAGATAAATTACGAATGGGTTTGGATATATGTATATAAACATTCGGGCTTACAGGATACATCCCATCCTGATAATGGACCACGAAACAAGGTAAGAACTAGAAGACATTCATTCTCGTCAAAATTTTACATACAACACATTGAACTTTTCAAAATCTTCCAAAATCAATTCGTAAGCGAGAAATTAACAATTGTATCTTACATTATAAACACTCGATTCTAAATTCCATGATCAGTATGGGTACATTGAATAACTGTGGATACACATTTACTCTCTCCTCTGGTCCATTGCACCTCTAATCTGACGTGCCAAGGAAGAACGCCGTATGAAAATTCGAGAGTTGCCAAATTTCCTTTGATAAAATGTTAATTTCTGAGGAAAGGTAGGAATATTTTTCCTTGAAATTTCCCGGAACTTTAGGTGCAATTGCGAACAAAACTATCTGAAAAATTGGAAGAAAAATATTCATAAGTTTACCTGGAAATCTATGTTTTATCAAAGGGAATTTGGCAACGCCAGAAGGTTCATGCGGCGTTTTCCCTTAGCACAACAGTAATTTTGTTAGAAGAAAGACACCACATGTAAAAATTCTTTTATCATAAACGAAAGTCGAAAGTAATTTTTGGCTTGGTTTGACTGGGGTAGACTTAGGATTTAGGAAGAGAGGTGAGCTGATGTAAGAAAAAAAAAAAAAAAAAAAAAAAAAACCCTAATCTCTCCCTTACCTATGATTTGGATTTAAAAATTTCAGTGAGTCAATCGTATTCTCTGTATAATTTTGATTAGGGAGCACATTACGGTGCTTCATTTTGCACCTGTTTTGTGGTCCACAGTGACGGAAATGGTCGCTTCAGGTTTTGTACACTTTTCTTTTGATTCTAATTCCAACTAAATTTTTTCAGGGACGTAATGTTGCAATATTACAATATTTTCTACAAAGCTGCTCTGTTTTAACACAAATAAATTCAAAAAGAGAGCGACTTGATTTTGCAAGTCCATTTACAATGAAGTAAAGACTTTGCCATGAATAAATTCAATTTTTCTACTGCTTAAAAGATGATAATCATGAAGATTTAAAAAATTACCAGTTGGAAACTTCTCAAGAAAAATAACATACAAGAAGGGCACCGTACTATCAGTCTAAAATTTCATTAGGCAGGTAGTAGTTAAAACTCCTTAAGACTAGCAACAGGGATAGGTTCTGTAGGACAAGTAACCTTGAACGAGTGTACCACGGAGTTCCAAAGTACTGTAGCGTAAGATCTTCACAACTTTGCGTGGGAGCAATAAATATCTTTGAGGGTAAGAGGATCAATACATGCTCGCATAGTGCATGTATTCCTCTTTCTTTACATTACATTATTAAGGAGTCGTCCTACAAAACTTGTCTTGTTAACAACGGTGAGAACCTTCAAGGTCCTGGCACCAGAGAGAAAGATAAAAATAAATTGACTCGGTTATAACGAAATAAAACTTAATACTTGCTGACTGGCAATTAAGACTACATTCCTTAAATTACATACATGGGATGGAGTTTCTTCTAGATTTAGCTGCTCATCGCATCCCATACACTAGAGAATACAAAATTTTTTCTATCATTCACCACATTTGCACAAGCTAGGCACAAAGTTCCAAAAATACCTTAAAAATTAGACGGATATTCAATGAATTACAGAGGAATCAATACTTTTTGAAACTACTACATTTTAGTGGTTTTTAGAAGGGACACATTTTAAAGACACCACACTAGCCTTTCAAGCGATGAAAAAAGGCAGAGAAAAGGTTACTTTTCAAGTTTCAACATACATCAGGGGCATGAAAGCTCATCTCTGTCTACTGGCTGATGAATGTTGCGTTGAACAGTGTGCAGAAGAAGTTCATTGTTGAAAATTGAGTTTGGCTAATGGAATGAAATGCTCATAACAGCTCATCAATAATCAATATCCAAAAGCAGTAGCGATGCGAGTAGCTTCAACGTCAACAGAGATTGTTAATGCGAGGTCTTTAAAATATTTTGTCTTCGAGGTTGTACGAGTAAACCACTGATTAGTTTACTTTAGTTAGACTATATTGCATCAAAATTTCCCAGATAAAAAGTAGAGAAACATTCACCCAAAAATACAATACCGCTTTGGTGAAATTCACAAAATAAACTGACCAAAAAAAGGTTATTTATCACCTATATGAGGTGTGCATACAAATTTACGGCATAGTTCCTGTTTGTTTATGAATTTAGCAGGAGCTATTCAATAGTGAAACCTGTAATTAACAAAGAGACATTTCTTCTGTCAATACACACACTTTCCTCAAAGTCTCGAGTAGCAGTGATTGCTATAAGTTGTGATTTGATCGAAGTCAATTTATTGCAATATTATCGGATAAAAAATTGCAATAAAGTGTAAATTCATGGCATAAATTTGCAACAAAGTCGCGATTTTATCGACGGCAATTCATTGCGATATTTTCGAGCAAGAAATCGGGATAAACTGATAAGAAATTTTGATTTTATTGATCAGTATATGTTTGTAGAGATAAAATTGCCACAAGATTGAAAATGCTTGCTCAGATGATGATGATTCTAGCAATTATATCGTCAAAAAATCATAAAAAATCGCAACTTAATTTTAAAATATCGCAATTTCGCAGTACATGAGCCTTAATTTTTGTACAGCTCTTGCTCTCCAGGGCTTACTTGTAATCAAAGTTACTTCCTTATGTCAGAAAAATGACAATTCAAGAAAAGAAAATTGATTTAACTCAATTCCTAGACAAAAGCTCCAATTTTTAGTAACGAATATCTTCTTTTGACCAAAAATTTTCCTCAAGTTAATCACAATTAATTAAAAAAGTTACAAATAGGTAAAACCATAACTGAAATGTACGCAATGAGATGTCTATGAATTAAATAATCCTTTGAAAGTAAAAAAGATGAGAGAAAAATTTAAAATACGAGTAATAGGCTATACTCCCTTGATTAGGGTTCAACAACAAGATTTTTAAGTTGAGATACAAATCACTGATCTGATAAGCTGGAGACTATCTCAGAATCTCATACGTTTCAAAATTGGCACTTGGAAATCATGACTCATAAGTCTTTGAAAAGGGTAGGCTGGCAACATAAAAATATGCCTTTGTTTACGTACCAAGTATTTCAATTCTGGTACCCTAAACATGGTAACTATTCGGCGAACACTTAAGTAAAAGTAACAACAAATTTTTTGATAGAACTTGATGCCCAATCGTAAGTTGAAAAACTAACACCAACTGCTACTGGACCTTTAATCCAATTCATGCTAAGTCCTTTGAAAAATCCTCTTCTTATACCTTCAAGACTGAAACAAATATAAACAAATAAATTAACACATCACCAAATAAAGTGAGTAAATTAAATCTAATTGATTTTAAATAACTGGAATACTAACAAAACCTAACAAATTTTTGATAGGCTAGTTGAGCATACTTAAAGTGGTTATTTTGCACTTTGGAGATCAATTCAATCAATTAATACTTTCTGGATTTTGGAACATTTCTTGAGCTTCTTAAGCATCTCATGCCGCTGTAGTGCGTCAGGTATTGGCACAAAAAATTTCACTAGGAAACATTTAAAAAAAAAACCTCCCAAAGTACGCTCTGAGAGAAAATCACGAATCAAAAGGCAGGAAAAATTGCAAAATTCACTCTGACCATGTTTTTGAAGTTATTTTTACGCCAAATTTTGTACGTTGTCATTACAGCCGGATGCAATGCTCGGAGTTTTTTATGAAATGTTTATTTAATGTTTATGTAATGTTTAAATTTTTCTTTAGAATAGCTGCAACCAAGGGGGCTCAAGTGTGACCATGATTTTACAGAAATAGTACAGCAACTAGGCGTACAAAGTATAGATTCTAATTTTGATTATTATGATTTAATGTTACTTTATGAAATTCTGAATAATTTAATCGATGCCCTGTCTCTGTTGTCTAGTACAAATAGTAATGTCCCAGCAAGATTTACCAGAATGAATCAATTAGTTCATGTCCCTCTCTAATTGCAAAACTAGGTAGACAAACTGATAATGGCTCCTATGAGTAGGATTGGTGATGAATTTTCCCCTGGAAATGACTTTTTCCATTAGCCCATTTCCTTTTTTAAAAAGGTCATTGAAGATTTACTTTTAATGGAATTTAAGTTGTACCTAACGTAAAAATCTATTGTGTTGTGGTGTACTTTTCTCCCTCCAGTCTCTTTGAGTAGTGGTTATTTTGTGATCTGTGTTTTGTACATATTTGTTAATAAACTTTCTCATAAAATTGTAAGAAAAAGTCCTAAAATCCAGAAATTATTCGTTGATCAATCGACTATCAAATCGTTCTTCGAAAAGCTAAAGAGACACTTTCAAGTATCTGTTCATACAGTCAAATGACTGATTTTTTTTGAGTCAGTGTAAATGTTAAGATTATTACTGCAAGGAATGACGCCTTGCAGCTTGACATACACTGCCATGTTGTCTTGAGGAAATGGTACATGCACGAGATCTTCTTGTTGGAATTCTTTTCCTTCACTAATATCTAATTGTTTCCATTTGGTTTTTGTATGAACGACGAAAAATTTCTTAAAAAGCCAAGGAAGTGCTTGCCTCTTTTGCCCCTGTAAGCACAAATGAGTCTCTAGTTATCAGGATTTTTTTGCAGACCATTTTTTAGCAATACCACATTGTTGTGTGTCAGGTTGGAGGAAACCATTCTATGCAGGAACAACTAATTCCATTAAGCAACGTCTGAATTAAAGCTGTTTCGTGAATCATTATCTCAACAAAGTTTATGCAGTATACAATGTATGTACGCATTGAAAAATTAAAAAATCAACTCTGAAGCTAGATGTAGTGATTTTGGTTCAAATTAACAGAATTTAGAAAGAAAAAACCCAGTGGCATTCTTGTATACCTTTTTTTTTCTATACTTGAGAGAATATTCGGCTTGTTTCTTCTGACTGTCTGTAAAGACATGCTTCATTTTATCTAATATTATTGTAGGCGAGAAAAAGAAAATCAAAAGGAAGACTTACTGAAGTACCGATATGGGGAGAGTTTTGTCACACAGTAAACTGAGAGTCACAAAAAAACGAAACGAAACAAACGGGAAATCAAGGTAACAAACTGTGAGCTAAATAATGACATAAAGAAAGCCGGAACTAAAAAAACTCAAACTCACACAAATAACACACAGTCGGTATTCAGCCTTTAAGAAGGGGCCAGGGAGCCCCAAAATGCGTTAGCGATTTTAATTTATTCGTAAGAGTTTCAGTTTTTTAGTTCCAGTTTGCTTGATGTCAGAGCTTTATCATCTCAATCCTTTAAATACGAAAAGACTGCACTGCTCCTTGATGGATTGCGCCATTTTTCCTGCTCATGAAGCCCCTTTGCGCCTCTTTTAGGATGGAGAAGAAAAAAGAGGATGGCAACGGAGTTCTAGAAATGATACGGATTTTTTATTTCCAACTTCTGAAATAAGTTCTGAACAAGTTTTGTTGGATACTTCTGCCGAGCAATACACTTTTTCTATGAGTATCATTCTTTTTTCCCTTGATGATATAAAGTCCTTTAAACTATGTTTGATTACATGAGTTCTTAAGAGCCCCATGAAAAGCGTAAAACTGATGAACATATCAGAGAACCCCAGGGCCATGGCAAAATTCTCTCGAAGTGGGTACTTTAGAACCTACCGATATTGAGAGATAATGAACTATGCAAACGGGAGAGCGAGAGCATATGAAAAAATTGTACCACTTTTCAAAGACTTACTTGTAGATATTGCGTATAGTTTCTCTCATCGAAAAATGTTTATTTCCAATGGCTGTGGCGGTTTGCATGCGCCTCCTAATTATATCAAGAGGGTAGGATGTTGTTTGGCCACACACTCCAGACACGGCACCAAAGCATAAATTTTCAAAGAACGTTGTATGTCCTTTCTTCTCTGATATCCAAACAAACACATAAGTAAAAAAAATAAAATACACAGGAGCAAAGATTAAATTTTCGAGAACACTTTAAATAAGTAAGTTTGAAAATTGAGACAAAGATTTGAAAAACTAGCAAAGTACCTTGCCAAAGCAATGGACCGCTGAATATGATGCGAAAATAAACATCATAATATATGTTTCCTTCTCCAAATCTTACTTACAATGGATTGAAACTTTCCAAATTTAACACACAAATAAGAAAATAGCGTTTTCTGAATCCTTCAGATCACATTCCTCCGCACAAAAAACATTAGTCTACTTGCGTCAAACCACCAACTAAACCATATTTTTAGCCATACCGATGGAGGACATTCCTCTGTAGGGTGATTTTTTTCAAAGAATAGAATCAGACTTCGAATCAGAGAGGAAAAAAAAGTAGGTGTGCAATAAAGTTATTCAGCTTAAGTGTAGGTTGTCCTCAATGGCTGATTTAACCCGTGTTGGTTGCGGTGTTTTTGCAAGAGGGAAGTTTGAATGCACGTTTATTACATGAACTACAAACATTAATTTTGCATTCATGAGTTAATTTTGGAAGTTTTATACATGCTTAACACGTTTTGCATGTCTCTTAAAGGTCTAATTTATGCATTGTTTTGTGGTTTGTATAAAATAAATTTTTGTCTACGAGAGAGTGTTAAAACAACTCCTTGGATAAACAAGTTGTTGGCTTCACATCTTCAGGACCAACATCTCTAAAAAATTTTGCGGACATTCAAGTTCACCTAACCTGATTAGAACTGACAAAGCTCCCATTCAGGGCATTGTTGCCTGTAGGGTCAATTCTATGGGAGGAAAAGTTAGTGGGACACAAACATACAGGAAAAGTTAAGTTTGGTTTACCCTCAAAACTCTTGAAGATTTCAGGAAGAGCCCTCTTGAGTAGAATCAAATAAGTTTTGCTCTACCATGTCTGTCGACTTTTTAGCCCTTCAAAATGGAAAAATCTGACCTTTTTTTTTAAATTTGTTCAAAATTTTACGCTTAATCAGATCCCAACATCATTTTAGGCAGTTTTTGCCATTTAATATCAGAATTTTGGCCCTAAACAGCTGAAATGTCCTGTACCGTAGCCTGTCCGTGACTCAAGTGCGCAACTTTAACGCTACATAACCATCCTCTTGCATCTAAATACTTCCACTTCTGCTGTAAATTCACGCTCAACTTGTACCTAACTTATTATTTTCAGTTATATTCATCCAAATAAGTGAAAATATTGACCGTTTTTGCGTCAAGCAGCCTTGTCTGCGGAATTCGCGTCCTGTACCGTAGCCCCCTTTTTTCAGCATCATTTCGTCCGTTAGAGTGCAGCACTTATGAACTTTGTTTACTTTTTTTGCGTTATCGTGACTATCACACGCTGATGTCGAGCAGAGGAAAAAAAACCGCAGTGAAACAGTAAATTTTGACCGTTTTTTATGAGTTTCTAGGTTTAACGACCATCTAGGATGTCCTTACCGTATACCTACCTTTTTAATGCATAAATCACTTCAAACTCTCGAATTTTGATATTTTTTGATACGCTCTGATATCTTAACCTCAAATCCAGAATTTCAACCTCATGCGTGAATATGCCCGAGCACCATTGCCAATAATCACACGATTTGTCCGCACCGTAGCCGTCCGTACCGTAGCCCGTAGCCGTCCGGTATCGTAGCCCGTAGCTGACGCGCGATGCGGCCGGGTCTACGGTAAGTACGGACAAAATGCGAAAGTCATCCAAAAATCGGTGCGCTGTTTGATAGATCATCCCACTTTACTTTATTTTATCTATCACCAAAATTTGGAATTTTAAAAAAAAAAGGGAGACGTATTTTTTTTTAGTACGACGCGACTTAGAAGAAGGAGGCTTTTTTTTTGATGATTGCATAAGGATCGCCATCTTTTTATTTTTTTCATTTTGTCTTTTAGAACTTTGAGTCCTCTTTTTCGTCTGAAGTTCATAGCAATTTATTCGTTTAATATTTATTCGTTAATATCTAACTTATTTTTTTCTTATCGTCCTTTAAATATTTATTTAAGGTGTGACCACATTTTCGATAAATTTACCTTTTTGTTTTCTTTCTTATTTTGTAAAAGTGCACCTAAAACGTTCTAACGTTGTCAAGCTTGTTTTAAGAACTCAGCTTGTAAGATTTGTCCCTAATTATTTAATGCATTTACTTTCAGCGTAGTTTTGAGTGCTTACAAAGGCTCCGAGATACAGTGTTGTTTTTTTCTAAAGAGGAACTATTGTATCCTTTGGTTGCTTGGAATGAGCTGACGATAAGTGGAGAGGTACTATTCTTCTCAGAGGCACCAGTAAAATTATACTGGCATCATTGAGTAAAAATGAAATGAGAGTTATATAAGATTAAAAAATAATACGGAAACTTGTAGACGTACCTATATAGTGTTTTTTGAGTGTTCCATACGTGAAGAAGCTAGCTCCAGCGTAAGGAATAATGCCTAAGATTGTAGGAGTGTAACCTTTGTAGAGCCCTAAAAATCCATTTTCTTTATACAGGTGTGCAAAAACCTAAAATCAAGATAAGAAAAAATTTTTATTTTGATATTAGATGCAGCATGTTACTTAGGCGCTTATAATAATCATAAAACGATTTTGGGGCACACAACGCAAGGTACTTTTTAAAATCAAAGTGTGAAAATATAGCCCACGCTTGCATCAGAATTTTAAGGGGTTCATAAGTAAGGCCTATTTCAGAGCTGTCCCTCCATCATCAACCTTTACAATAACGGAGTAAACTGATAGTAGTGATAGGAGGGTAGCTGCAAATCCTTTCAAATTTTGACATAAGATGTGCAATATTTCAGTACTTTATTTTCGTAGTGATCTTCCATGCACAGCCATACAAGTGAATGCGGAAAGGTGGTAAAAATTTTCTCCGAAAAGATTTTTTTAGATTATTTATCTTTCTTTTTTTAGGTAGTAGTATAATTTTAAGTGAGCTGTGTTGATTTTTATGATGGGCAAGACCATTTTCTAACAGTGACAGAAATTTGTTCAATGGAATTTTGTGTAATGCACAAACATTTTACTCTTAATTTACCTCAGTTTCACTTGATTCTGTTAATTAAAGAGAGGTTATTTGGGAGGAAAGGACTGCTGGTTGATTACTGAAATTGTTGGAAGGCAATAGACAAAGATAACACATTGAAAATAAAACGATCCTATTGGTGGAAGCGGGTGTTTGCAATGCAAAAAGATGGTAAGTAATAGATTAACCAACGGCAACCTACGGGAGACCCTACAGTTAGTACATCATTTTCCCCCTGGTGTATGACAACTACCTAGTACAACGAATGGGATTGCTCCATGTTCCCTATGTCTTCTTTGTCTATCGCTTTGTCTATCAATTTTAATAATCAGCCCGCTGGTCTTTTAAATGTGTTTAGAGATGGTATGAGTTGTGGGACTCTTCTATGCTATTTGAAGCAAAACCAGTTGCAACCAATCGAGGCGGTAACTGCTGATAGACTTTCTGGACAAACTTGTCAGTACATGAGAAATGAATATAGGGGTTAAAGTCATGACTTTTTCAGCAGTAGCCAAGCACCTTGAAATAAATTAGAGTGTGAATTTTAGAGTTTCAGCTGCAGATATCGTTCCTGATAACACGGTGTCTACTAAGATTTCATATTGGATTTTCTGATAATTTGATTGAAATTTCCTAATTTTTTGTGCAAATGAATTGACACTCATTTGATTTTAAAAACCACCATAAATTGAATCAAATATTCCACTTTTGCGAGTGCTAAACCGTATATGATTGAAAAATGCTTGACGCTTGGGGAGTTTTTTGATCCATGACCTTTCCTGATATTTTCCGGTTTTTACTGATGCTGGACACCCTAGTGCAAAAATGACCCTTGACAAGGCAAATACACTGCAAAATTCATCAATATATTTTCTTTAAATGATAAACATTTAAAATTTACCCGGCTAAGAGAGGCATACTGATCTTTCCGTGTAACAGCCATACATGCTCTAGCTAAATCTAATGGGTAAGTGAGACTCTGAGATGTAACTCCAGCCAAAGATCCTGCTAGAAATCGCCGAACTTGGGAACTTCTGAAATCATTAAAGCGTACTAAGCTTATTACACATGCTCCAAAGTACTTTTGTGATCATCAATAGAAAAATGAACCTTCAATTCAGAAATCTGAAAATTAAGATACAGCAATGCTGCTTAGAGTGCTTCATGATATTTTGGCACATCACTGTGAGACAAACTGAAATTAACAAATTATGAATGAATTAAGTGTTAGTTGTTTAAAATAAAACAAATTTTAGGTTATACTTAGTGAAAAAATTAATGCTAAAGCTCATGTTTTGCCCTAACAATTGAGTTCAAAGCTTGTTTATGTTATAAGCTTCCATACCATTTTTCAACTTTCAAGGGTAAACAGGCAGAAGGGAACACAAAGAAAAATTCCAGGGGACCGGTCGATATCCAGGGTGATTTTTGGGGTTTAATCCACATGGCAAAAATATGATTTTTAAGAGGTGCCAGTCAAAGCACTGATGGGCCAACATTTCCAGTAATTATTTTGGTCCCGGTCTGTCCCTGTCAACTTGAAATGCATTTTTCTCAAAAAAAAAAAACAAAAAAAAAAAAAAAAAAAAAAAAAAAAAAAAAAAAAACAAGACTTAAAACTCTCCCTCCTAAGATGTCCTTAAATGAAGAGAAATGATCACATCTTCTCTTAATTTTTACAAAAAACTGAAATATAGAGTAAGGATACTCACAAATTTAAAAAATTTTCATCAGCTTTATCATTACTTTCAACTCTCAGGAAATGTTTCCACTGGTCATGGGCTGTGAATTGGATGGCAGCGTATGGTATAATTCGAGCCATTGTAGCACTATTGCCTCTCCAAAGGCTGATTACACCATCAGTCTTATAAGATTGAATCATAAACTTTAAAGCTTTTTTCGTTGAGTACGGTGCATGATTCACCTAGAGGGGAAAAATAAACAATTATCTTTTAATGCAAAAACTTCATATTATAATAAATAATGCGGTGCAACTGAACATTATTTTTAAAAAACACCCAGCCCCAAAATTGAGGATTCTCCGGAGATGGAAAAGACTGAGTTAAACATCCCTATATTTTTCAAATCAAGACCCACAACTGTAAACAACTCAATCCATTTAAAATTTGGTGGCATTGGTTCACAGGTTTTATATTGACAGTGAAACGGCATTGCACTGCATGTTTCAAAAGGTGATCATGATTATGAGAACCAACATCATGGCTTGAAATTTTCGCAGAATATCTTCCACGGAGAGAATGCATAAATCACCGAAGTTTTAAAGAAATGACGCCCAGTAGTTTTTGATGAAGTACATCAAGTATGTCAGGAAGTCTAAAATGCCTGTATGTAGCTAGATTTGTTTTGGAGTTGGTTTCTAAACGAATCTGTGACCACCTGCATTATAAGTCGATGGATAAGTATTTCAGTTCGTAACAAAATTAAATATTTGGCAATGCACAGAGACTTGTGACTTTTCATTAATTTACAAGCTTCAAACATCAAAACTTGATTTCTCAGCAACCGCAACGAACCAAAAACCTATTGTTAGAGAAATGGCATGGGTAACTTTATTACAACTTTACTATTTGCTGTATGTAAGCCTACAAGAATGGTTTAAGAGATCTCATTGATTGGTAGATTTTTTTCTTTATACTTAGTGTGCTAGTTTTCTGCCGAAGCGTTGATTAAATACCTGAAAATAGATCTTCGTACGATCAAGTGGAGCTATGGTTGTTTTTGCTATTGCGCCTGCAATAGCTCCAGCAAGCAAGCTGCTAGCAACACTTTCTTTTTGCGTTACCTGAAAGAAACAGAAGAAACAATCGATCATTGAATTTTGTAATTTGCTTGAAATGGAATCTTTAAAATGTATGTTTCACCCTCTTATTTGACTGTTTCATCCCTTCATTCATCTCTGGAAGCCTCAATTCAAGGGTGAAAATAGTTCAAAGCCTTCATAATAATTTGAAACTTTTTGAGTTTTTGCTAAAGGGTCAACAAATAATGAATAATAGTCGGTATACCTAATTCTTTGATGGAAGTAATCCCATCCCAGCAAAATGCTTTTGATATTTATTTCTCAATGAAAAGTACAAAAATAAAGCAGTCACCCCTACCCAACTGTCACACATCATAACATCGATATCATACCTACTTGTCTTTTTTTGTCATTGTATACCAATGAGAGAAGTGGTTAGTCTCTCCGAATAGAGCACAAGGAAGCTACATAATATATAAAAGTAAAGTTGTTCAGCATTACTGCACCGGCGTTAATCATTTAAAATTCGCATATTTTCCATGCTGTCGGCAATCAAACAACAGCTCTTTGTGACCAATGAATCCAATTGCTCGGTCTCATTGTCTAGAAAAATTTGTGCCCTCCAAACTTGCTTCTGAACTTTCATTCGCAAAATTCAGTCATTCATTTTGAGAAATCATTTGTGTTTGAGATGACCTTGATATTTTGTTTCATGTATGTTTTACCAACATTAAAAACAAATTAAATTAATTACATGCATTGGTGTAGGGTGTAGAAAATTAGTACAAATGAGGCTTGATTGCTAGTGCTCCCTGTGAGCTCCTTGTGCTACGATCATTTGATTTTGCTCCAGATGAGATAAGTTCTTACCTCACGAGACTGCTTCTTGGTGGTATCACTCTGCGGGGACATGATGACACATGAGAAGGGATTTCTTAAGGCCTCTGAACATGGAGACACTTACAGTTTGATTTAAACCATTATCTGAACAGAAAAAACAAAATCATTACGGGGACTGATTTGGGATATTCACCGTTGTTAAACCGAACGCAAGTATTATTAATTCGCTTTCGATCTTGCCATCCCGTACAGGTAAAATATCATTACTGAAACAAACAAAGACACTGAAAATTGAGAGAACGATGATTTACACATACCAGTTTTCAGTGATGATGAAAATTCTCTGAGCAAAGGTGGCCAGTATCAGATGAAGGTTCACGAATCAATATGTAAAATTGAATGAGATAAGAATTGCTGTAATAATCACATTAAGTTTGAAGATAGAGGTTAGTTAAAAAATTCTCAACCTATTTCGCCATAGACGTACGTTCAAATTTAACCCTGACGAATGCTGAACGAAATCTCTGATCATCTTCGCGCATACTTACCACAGAACACAGACATCCACAGAGAGAAAAGTAACTCACATTGACAGAATTTTTGGGGTAAAATTGAATGAACTGCATCACACAATTAATAGGAAACAAAAAATCCGATACTAAACAGGATTAAAAGAACACTTCACCTTGGTAAAAAAATAAATTAATATAAACAAATTGTTTTAATGACTTTCCAAGGCGTAATGATGATGATAAACGGCCGAGGCGTATTATCTTATCAGTAAATGCTCTAAAATAAACAAACAAAGGAAAGGAGGAAAGGTTTGATAAGAGAATAAGTCGAACGTCGAACTCGCTTCTTTAGTAGTTTTGTCTAATTTTTTGCATTGTTGCAAGTATATATTTTTGACTTTCAACCCTGCGTACCAAATATTAATCACAGTAGACAATTCAATGTTTTTGATTAGACCACAGTGTTGTTGTCAACTTTTTTGATAACGCGAATTCCTAAGCACTTGTCAATTGTGCATGCGCACTTCCCATTATTCTATGCTTCCCTTCCCATGTGTTTGGCCGTGAAAATTCCACACGGGAGCCCAGTATTTACTTGAGATTTTATTCTGAATAATTATCCTGAGGTATTTATCGCTTTTGTGACGTGGCAGTCTATTTCTATGTTGTTAGAAATTATTATTTTCGTGAAGTAACCATTCCAAATCCAAGTCATCGTGAAATTCGCCTGCCGGCGCGGTGGTCTTGATGACTCATACGTATCAAGTATCTCTGATCTGAACACTTGACAGAACAGCAGAGCGAAGAATATACTTACTAACTTACTACATCGGAGTTAATCTTCAGGTAAGCTTTCAGAGCAATTTTTAAATTACCCACACATTGTCAGTTTGGACTATCACTTCTCTGGTACATGTTCACTCTCTTAAATTATAGTTCGGCTATCAGGAGCAATTGAAAGCTGAAGAGTTCAAGTGTGGAAAAGACAAGTTTTATAGTCACTCGTATAGGTACTATACTTTTCTACCGGTCTCTTGGTCTACTATCGTAACATGAAGAGTAGCAATTTAATCATCGGATCACTTGCTACTCTTCAAGATTTCAGGAGCTCAATTTCTAAGCTGGGCAATTGACCCATCACAACTCAGCCTGTTATGGGCGCGTGTAGGAGGAAAAAAAAGGTTGTAGGGCTGTCAAAATTTGGAAATTGCAAGCCTAAGTTTAGGGACCTATAATACTATGTGGGTATTTATACCCTCCGTACTTCAAAGAATATCAGAATCTCCCTTCCAGCCTACCCTAGCACTAGTGATCATGATGGAGAGCAACTTAATCGGTTGACCTTTAAGTATCATGATTATACCAGTGGAAATTTATGGCGTTATTATTGAATTAAAAAAAAATTGCGATGTATAGAGTTTACATCACTACACATCGCAGTTTTTGGTTTGATAACATTGCGATTTATATTTGCGGATGGACTTAATCGAGATTAAATTGTCATATTATCGCAAACAATTCTCGGGCAATAAGATCGAAGAAAACCGCTCAGATGTTGATGTTCCTATCAATGTTTTCATTGCTGATAAAATCATAATAAGTATATCACAATCTTTCAGTTGAAAAATGCTACTTGGGTACGGGAGCTTCAGACTGTTGTCTAGTCACAGAAAGGTGTGGAGTGGACTAGCCCTATCACACAGAGCATGATAGGAGAATATTTATCTTGCAGATTTTTAATAAAGGTAGGGTGGTGTACTGTTCAAGACTGTCACTTTAACCTCATCTATCGTCACCTTCCAGGCAAAGTATTACAAGCGCCATGCGACGTTTAAAAATTTCCGCCGCCATTTTATTTTTTTACAGAGAAATTGTTCAACGAAGCTGTCCGAAAATTTCACTGAATTTTCTTTGTGCTGCCGATAAAATTTAGTGAAATTTCCAAACAGATTCAACCAACAATTTCTCAGTAAAGAAATAAAATGGCGGCGGAAATTTTTAAACGTCGCATGGCGCTTTTGATACTTTGCCTGGAAGGTGACGATATTTGTTACCACTCTGTGAAACAGTTGCATTTCTTCAAGTTTTCAAAGCCTTTGGACTTTCTTGCATTAAAAACTTGAGCGGTTAGAAAGAATAACTTCTCTATCAGAGTACACAGAGAACTGAATCCCCCTCGCCTACTTAGTTTACAGCTATTCTGCGCTTAAGCACCCACGTTGTATTTTAGGTCCCTAAGTTAAGTCAACCCAAGCGATAAGGGAATAATTTTCTAGAATCAATGTAAAATTTTGAGATTTTACTGTTGAATCAAAACAAATTTTCTCTGCAAAATTCCAGGTAGCTCCAGACCCTTATGCTTGGAGATGTTACATTGGTTCAATCTGGGAGGAGAAGGGGGTGTCTGTGACGGTCCTCTCGTAGAAAATTCTTTTTTTTTCCCTGTCTTAAATGCAATTTTAATGGAAATTTCACTTCTTTTATAGCAGTACAATGGGGATTTTGTACCAACCATTGGTATGCAGTCCTTCGCCTGTAGTTACCGCAGGAATCTATTTAGAAATGGTATTTTTCAAGCATTTTTGGAGTTTAGATGTCGTCAATTTCTTGCACTATGTTTCATTTCCCTTTTCATTTCACGAAGACCTATTTTACGATTCTATCACCCATACCCAATCTTGTTCTTGGGGACATGTGGCACTCTTGTAAATTTTCCAATGGCAGAGATAGGGCTGAATGGGTCAGTTGCGCTAGTCACAGATGCTTTTGATGCTTGATTCTTGTAGACTATCTTAAAATATTGAGATCTGTTCTGACAGTAACTTTCTATGTTCAATTTTAACCGGAATATCGCCCTTTGGAAAGCCGGGTTTTTAACGTCATCCACCGCGATAGTGACACCTTTGGTTTCTTCCACCTTGTTTTTACAATATTGCGTTACTTTATGTAACTCGGATGTAAGCAAGTGGAAGAAACCAAGGGTGTCACTCCCCAAAATTTTTCCAAACAAATTTTTCAAAGCTCGATATCTTGGTTTATATTGAACTTAGAAAGTTGCTGTTTGGACAGATCTTATCATTTTTAGCTGATCTACAGGAATCAAACATCGAAACACAATGGACCACTATAGACAAGGTACGAATTTAAGCATTCTGATACATGTTTCTTAACCAGAATTTCACGTAGAACACGACTCGTGCAATGAAAATTACTAAAACCAACTCCTAACGAAGATATTAACGTTTTTATTTCACATTGGTCACGAGGAATTTGAACTGCCCGCTCACAAGAAACTCAAAGCTCTGCGTGAATCAAATCGCGCACTACAACAGTTTCGGCAATATTATCTATCGAACAATGTTCATTTCCCATCATGTGTTGTTCAAACTATAAGCAATTTGCTATAGCTGAGCCAAAGCGTCAAGATTGAAGTTGCCAGATTTGTATATCGTAGAGACTATCATGATAACGTTTAGCGCGGGATGTGAATCACGTAGAGCATTGAGTTTTCATGAGCGGGTGGTTTGAATTCACGCATCGAGAATCATTAAATATCTTTGTAAGGAGTTTATTTCGGTAATTTTTGCTGTGTGTATCGTGTTTTACGTGAAATTTTGGTTAAGAAACATGTATCAAAATGCTGAAATTCGTACCTTGTCTAGTGGTCCATTCTGTGATCAGGGCAACGAACCCATTGATTTACAGCCAAGCCCAAATCTTCTCTTCCTTGTCTTCACTAATCTTTTATCACACATCATTAGCATGAAAAATGATGCCCTCTAAGGCAACTGGTGAGTGTAAACACAAGTTTCAACAGTGTTCTTGCTGATGGTTTAACTGCAAAGCTGTCATCAATTGTTGTTATTTTTGACATCTTTCCTCTGGTTTTTTTTTCAGATTAAGAAATCGCTCCAACCTCCCAAATGAGACGCAATAAAGGTATACATGAACATAATTTTGCCATCTTATTTCAAGATTTATGAAGTCTGATTTAGAACATGCCTCTTTTTAAGTATAAAGTTTCCTTTGGTAAAATATTAGTTTAATTTAATAGTATACTGAAGTCGTAAAATGTGACCATTGAGGCCTTGGTTTTTAATCACTTTGTCGGGTGACATGATTACCCTATCTACATCTTACTTTATGGTCCTGAACTATGATCTCATAGTTCGAGACCATGAAGTAGGTTGCAGATAGTGTGACTGTTATGTTTATTTTGATTTTTCATGTAAACAACCACTATATAAAATTTATATGGTAGAGTTGGATTCAATTTTTTTGAATTTATAGCATACCGCTCAAGTTGAGTTTTTCCATGTCATGTAAAAGATTATAGATTGAATGCCGAAGAAAGTTTAGAATCTATTCAATTCACTCTTAATTCATGACAAACGTTTCACCCAAAGTTAGTTCTATCGTGGTGTTGTAAGTGTTAGTAATTCTTATACAATTTAATTCTCATGCCCAGGTTTTATTTTTTCAAAAACACCTTTTTTTTACCTTTGTTGCCATACCTTCTCCTTACTTATGCAGAAATTAGTTATTTTTTTACACAAGAAGAACTAATCAGCAGTCTCCTTTGAACTTTTTAGGGAACTTCCTTCACTCACTCAGAAAAAAATTGCAAGGAAACATTGTCATTGATTCTCCTTAAGGAAAGGGAAACGCAATCAGAGATTTTTAAAAGTTTCAATCAAGATACGTATTTTTGCATTAAGTCATCAAAGTTAAGATACAGGTGTCACCACTTAATGGGACGTTCGACAGGCATTTTTGCAAGTAGAGGGCCCAAAATCATTCAAACAGACCAGAGTTTCAACACTTTGAAGTTAATAAAACGCAATTTTGAAAAGCAATCAGTGTACATTATAACCCATGATACTTGAGGCTTTCAATTTCCGGATTAAGTAAATTCAATGTTACATCTAGTAGCCGTACAAAAATGAACTAAATTCTCTGCAACTATTCTTTAGGATATCGAAGAATGTCCTCTGTGGAAATTTTTTACTCATGTTTACAAAATCGCTCTCCTTAAAAATTTCCTCTATTTGGTCAGGTCCCTTTTTCTATAATCCGTGAAATTTGACAGTTTTATTTTAGTGTTGTTCCTAATGGAAATCGTTTTTCCCTTGCAGCTCGTGAGGGACCTCGGAGGGGTCCATACCACAAAGTATATGCCGATCAGTATGTACAGTGCAGAACAGAAAGGAGGCGAGATCCTGGCATTGATGAGAATAAATGTCACATGTGCAGCATTTCATTCGCCTCACAAGAAGAATATGAAGAGCATCAAAATGATATTGAACACAAGGCCAGGAAGGAGTTTCGGCTGAACCGGTGAGTGATTGGGCTGTTTACTCCTCTGGGAATGAAACATATCTAGGCCTGTCCTGAATGGAGATGTTGCATGTGTGAGGAATTTGCGATTTGACCACTGACTCTCATGTAAAAGTTTATGTAAAAGTTCGAGAAACACGATAGTGCCACTGGTTTTCTCTGAAATTAACTCCCAAGCTCAAAAAAAGCTCTCAAGTTGAGGCCAAAATGGAGGGGATATCCTACGCTATCCTGAGAGTCCACCTCTACAACAAGACAAACTCTCCATCCAAAGATAGGGAGCAAATACATTAGCAGGGTTGCTGTGTTTTCAGTTGTGGAGTCCCCACATAAAATGGCAGCCCTTCCAATGTATTTGCTCCCCATCTTTGCATGGAGAGAGTTTGTCTTGATGTAGACGTGGACTCTCAGGATATTGTGGGATATCCCCTCCATTTTGTCCTCAACTTGAGAGCTTTTTTTGAGCTTGGGAGTTGATTTCAGAGAAAACCAGTGGCACCATCGTGTTTCTCGCAAACTTCTATATATGAACCAACAGTCAAATTGCAAATTCCTCACACATGCAACATCTCCATCACTTATTTGTTTGACAAAATATTTTAGTGCATTCCTTGTTCTATTTTTTTCAAGAGGGGAGGGGATGTGATGTTTGATTGTGAGTCCAAAAAGGCTAAACTCCAGAGAGATGGTTGTGGAAAATTTGTACAAAAGAAAAAATTGCAGCTTTGAATCTGAAGTGCTCTAGAACTTTATTTGAGAAGCCACAGATTATCAGCTCGTTTTAGGCTAGAAATTCTGAATAGAAGGAACAAATAGCATCATAATTGTTGTTTTGTTTGTAAAACTTTGTTGTAAAAATTTGTTTTCGAATTAAGGTCCAGAATTTGGAATAATTAAGGGTCATGGGGGTAAAACACTGATGTCACAGGAAAATGTTGCTAAATAAGAAGAATTATGACTATTTTTGAATTTCCTAGCACTATACACACACTTTCACACCCAGTATTCATTTTACTCATAGAATAGAACTGAAACTGAAAATATTTTTTCTTTGATCATGTGTGATAACAAAATTTTTCCATGAAATAGCTAACGGCCATAAAAGCGACGGACAGTCATGATTATGTAATGAGACAATTTACATTGTGTCACATGGGTGAATGGATCTTCAAGCATGTTATAAAAAGTCATTCATGCATTTTTGTTAAAAAAAACTCAAAAGGATCTTAAGCTCTCTGCTATCCATCTGGTTTCTAAAATGAAGGGTTCCTAATTCAGGTTGTGAAGAAGACAAGAGTGTTATTGCCAAGCCTGATCATGTATCACTTAAGGACCAGCTTCACTATTGCCGACTGTAAACTGGACCAAAAAATTGGTTCTTTTTCCCACCAAAAAACAGTTCAAACTTTTATTTTGCAGTCGTGAAGTCAAGAAAAATTCAGCCTGTGGCATAAAGGTTGAGTTTGAAGCGGAGGAAATTTTTCTCGAAGTCAACCAGCAAAAGAAAGTAAACTTCAATCTGTCAAATCGCACTGAAAGAGATGTTACTTTGGAATCAATAATACCATTAATGAAATTAAATGTTGTGCCTGGAGTGCAAATCATCGGAGCCAAGGGCGTTTCCATTGGACCTGGTAAGATTAAATGTGAACAGAAATTCTGCACTCTTGTTTATCCAGAAGGTGGACTGGTCAAAGGAAGTTCTGCCTGTACGAGGAGGGACCCAAAAAAACCCGAAATTTTGCTGTAATTTGGCAACGATGGAAAAAATTTGGGGACTAGGAGCTATGAAGAGTCATTAGACCAAATTTCAACGTTGTAGCACATTTTCTTTCACTTTGGCAAAACTCGGCTTGAGGGGTTGTTTGGAGAGTTCGTCGTTTTTGTTGATAAGCGATTTTCACCGGCAATGCGTTTTAAGCCCAAATTTTTCACAGCAATATTTTGAATATTTGGACGTATTTCTACCGAACAGACCTATGTGCAGGTGAGAAATATGAGGTGTGCTCTAGAAATCTGTATAAGAAGCAATGTAAAAGTGGGCGTGATTCCTTTTGAAGAATTGGAAAAGCGGGATATTACATTCTATCAAACAGACCTATGTGCCATCTGAATGCGGGATTCATGAGCCGCGGGCATGGCACGAGAGCGTTGTGAACAGGGCTCATGAGTTACAGCGCCCCGACGACCATCTCCCCGTCGTTGCGCGGCTCGATCATTGCCGCTGACGTCACTGGCGCTTTATTATTCTCATTCACTCTTACGGTCAGAGAACTGACAAGCACACCCCATATTTCTCACTTGCACATAGGTCTGTTTGGTAGAAATACGTCCATTTCTGTATTACATTCAAGTGATTTCTGCTAGTTAATTAAATTATCCATCCTCATTCACGAAAATGCAAATTTTTCATTATTTTTACCGGTTCTAGCCCTTGGCGATGGCGGTTTGAAGCCATTCAGGGGTTTCGAGCAATTAAGCACAATTTTTAAAGCAAAAACCCGTACTTACACTGAAGTTTGTGATAAGGCTTGTCCTTCAGAACTAGCACTTCAAAAGATTAACAGAGAGATACCCGTGCCTTTATCGAGTAAGAAAGAAAAATTTGAGCGCTAAGTGTTGTTACTGAAATTGACCCATCTTCAAAAACGACAAACTCGCCAAACAACTCCTGAAGCCAAGTCTTGCCAGAATGAAAGAAAATGCGCTATGACGTTGAAATTTGGTCTAATGACTCTTCATAGCTTCTAGTTACATCTCCTAGCAGTGGAACCCGAATATTTTCCATTGTAGAGAAGTTACAGCAAAAGTCTGGTTTTATTTGGGTTCCTCCTCATAGGTGTGTGGAGACTTGCCCAATGTGAATATGCGATAGGTGTTAATGATGAAATTTATCACATGTTATCGCAAATTTTCTGAACAAAAAATCAGTTAAAGCGGCAGTTTCACCCCCTGAAAAAAACTCTATTCTATTAAATTTAGACCCTTCTTTGTCAACTGAAAAGGGAAATTTACTAGTGGTGAGACAAAAATATTATGTCTTTTTATTAAGGTGTTTCAACATAATTGCTTCAACTTCCATTTAAAAAAAAAAAAAAACAAAAATACACACGAATGCAAACAAATCAATATTTTCTCCTTGAATTAAATTACTTTCACATGGGCCAAGAAAAATCCTATAATATTTCATCAAGTATGTTTGATTGCTCCTCTTTCATGAAAATGTACTACAGAAAGTTTGCAATTTCGCAAGCCAAGCACGGTTTTCTAATTTTACTACGGAAATACTACCAATTTACATTTGAAGACCAACTAATTATTTCAGCACAGCTATTTATCCTGATTGTAGCAATGTTTTTGGCAGAGCTCATGATTTCTTTGTCGTGAATGAAGTGAACAGTGTGAATTCAGTGAGGAATCATGACTATAGCCTATATACTAGAAAATTAATTTTCATCCTCAACATCACTAGGTCAGTCCTTGCTCTATAAAATGGTTGTTGGATTTGGTGCAGAAACTGGCATTTTTGTGTACCCATTAATTTTTCAATTCCTTGGAGTAGCTGGTTCCATCTACGTCTACAGAGAACTAGTGAGTATTTATCACATTCTTCTAGCCTGGATTTTACATGTGTAAGGCAGTGAGTCAAGTGAAAGGAAAGCTTATTTTGTTGTAGGACAGGAAGGTATGAGTATCCTAAAGCCTCTTGACTTTATAAAATTTCTCTTTTCTGAAGCCTCCTTTTAACAGAATATTATATTAAAAAAATTATTTTTGAATGCAAATTTTTGTAGGGTGCTCTCGAAAATATTTGATGATAGTAGACGTATTTTGAACTTGTGAAGGACCTTACAATCGCACTTACATGTAAGCTGCTTTCATAGTGCTCTTTTGCGCTCTGCGACACCCAGCGGCCAAAGTCCTTTATCCGCCCAAAGCCCTTTAGAGAGTTGGTACTCCCCTGTTCCTCTGTAGCCCCCTGTCTCCACCCTTTCACTGGGCATCCTCTTCATCTCCTCCTCCGAGGAACCCAATCAAGCATCTTATTCGGCAGCATTTCTTCCCTCATCCTGTCAACATGATCATACCAGACAAGCTGTTTGGTCATGACGTCAATTTCGACTCCCATGATCTGACGCACCCTATCATTGCGAATCCTCACAATCTTTACATCTTACAATCAAGTCTCGCCAAAATTGATGCATATGAACATCCGTTGAACTCTGCTTTTCAGGATTATTGCTATTCGCCTCTGAACACTGGAGAAAATAACCCAAATTGTCTCACCTTTTCTCAAGGTATCGGGAGACGTGAACGACTCGGGCTGCATACTTTTAATTAGTACGTTTCTGCGGAGTCCGAACTGAAAAAGTAATAGCGCAATTGTTCACACTGTTTCCTCACATTCTAGACGACAGGGGTTCGAATCCTGCTACGTTTGCACTTTTCTGAATCTTTATTTTCAATTTTCTCTCCACTCTCTCATTATGTAAATCAAAATGTCAGTTTTCATTATACTTTTATTCCTTTTTTTTCTTCTCTCTAGCCTCCTGGTTTTTTTATGTCTCTTTATTTCTTGAGTGACCGACTGAGCAAAGTCCTTGTTGCTTAGTTAGTCATTCACCCAAATACCCACCCAATACCCTAAAAAAAGGAAAACTACCAGGGTCATTTTTCCTGGTGTCCAGCTACCAATGACGAAATTGCTGGGAGTGGGATCCAATGGATCTTCATTATGCAGCAACTCAACCTTTTATCCATCAATTTTTAGGGAGCACGATTCTAAGGTTCCCCCATTGTGATCATATCTGGAACAAAATATTGAAAACACATCTGGTTTTTTTTCAAAAGCATCCTTTTTTCCTTTCTCTTAGAATACATCACAATGTGATGTCCGTTGCATGAAAATTTTAAATTGTGGTTTAGTAGTGTGCCAAGAAACATCTATCTGAATTTTAGGATTTGTTCTTATACCTCCCTGTGACCTTGAAACATCTCTCAAGATCTATTGAAGAAGCTCAATCTGGGAAGAAATAACAAGGGTAATGACAATTGTATGCCTCTCTTCGTGATCTTGATTTGAGGCTGTTGCATAATAATTTTTTTGGAGGCTTTAAAATGCTCTGTACTCTTATTTTTCCAGAAATTTTACTCTTTTACATCTAGTTCAGAATCGGGATTATATTCAGCCTTGGCTCCGATTTCGCCGTACAAACCACAAAATCACCTGTTTGTTCACCTGGTTGAACTGCCAACTATATGGGCTCCTCCTCTTGAGAAGTAAGTCAAATTTTTTCTTTTTTATGGAAATTAATTGACTAATGAAATTTTGCAACGGCTGATGTCAGTTAGTTTCCTTTTGAGAAACACTGCCCAAGTTTTTTTTTTTTTTTTTTTTATTTTTGTTATTTTTATTGAATACTATACATCATGCTTATAATAACTAAAATTGAGAGAGCTTTTTTGTAATTTAAGGAATTAAAAACTTTTAATTACAAACATTAAGTGATTTGATAAGTGATGTTGGAGATAAAAGTATCAATAGTATTTACAGAAATGAAATACATGTGATTGAGGAAATGAAATGATGTAAGACAGAGAAAAACGGGAATTAAAAAGGAGAACCGAAGTGTACATTATATGGATGTATTTTTGCTAAAAGGAACTATGTCGCATGCAAAACCTATGCACATAGTTCCTTTTAGCATAAATACGTCCATATGCATGTTTATGAAATTTTTCTTTATGATATTGATAATTCTTTCTTCATTCTCAAAGTTCCCTTTTTAATGAAAAATTACATTATGTCTCAATTAAGACAGATTACTCACTTTAAAATACATACACCATACACAGTGAGCAGCATTTTCTCTGTTTCCACTCTGTCGGTTTTTCCATGTACACGCAAAAGACATATTGCCCGGGTCTTTTTGTTTTTAGTTTGGGGAAAGACAAATATGCCATCCGGTCCCCAGTTCTGCAAAGCATGGTGCAGAAAGGATGTGAAGAAAAGCTTTATCAAAATCCTAGGCTTTTGAAGTAGTATACAATCGATGAAATTAATCTCAAATCTGAAATTTCCATTTTTCTTTCAGGGAAGAAAGGGTCAATGCTCTTCCAAAAAGAATTCAGCTTGAGAAATACCCCGTACCAAATCTCTTGTCCAAACTCGTGAACCATCATCTCAATCCTGCTGAATTTGAGGACGAACTTGATGAAGCTGGAAGAAAAGAAATCAGGAAACTTCTGTAAGTATTCATTGTTGCAGTTTCGCTCGTTTGCATTGCATGTTTCTATTCATCTTGGTTTTTAGAACTTATTTTTTTTAAAATGGGATTGTTGGAGGGTCCTTGAATTGCCTTGAAAGGAGTAATTTTTAAACTTGAGAGAGAAATGTGTCGCTGAGCTTTAAAAAGCTCAAAACTGCTATTTTCATTTTGTGTGAAAGCTGAAATTCTGTACTTGCAATTTGTTTCCTCAAAATTCTTCAAGGAGCACTTACAATTAGCATTGATCATAATCAAATTTTTAAATCTTGTAATTTGTAACCGTCAAAACATTCACTATACTGCTGTTTGGAGGAAAACCGCTGTATGAATATTCGAATGTTGCCCAATTTACTCTAAAAATACTTACTTATGAGGAAAGTTACGGACATTTTTCATTGAAATTTTCGGACTTTTAGGGTCAAATTGCGAACAAAATTCTTCGAAACTTGAGAAGAAAAATACTTAGAATTTTCCCCAAAAATTTGTGATTTTGTCAGAGGAAGTTTGGCAACGTCTGAAGGCTCATACAGTGTTTTTCCTTAGAACGGCTGTATAGAGGTGCACAGTTAAGTAAATTCTGTTGATTTTTCATGGCTCAAATAATGACCCTTTTTTTCTGCTAAGAACTTTTGAATAATGGACCATTAGACAAGGTAGGAAGTTAAGCATTCTGATATATGTTTCTTAACCATAATTGTACGCAGAACACGATTTGTGCGAAGCAAATTACTAAAATTACCTCCCGACCGATATATTTAATGTTTCTCGAAGCGTGAATTCAAACCTCTTGCTCATGAAAACTCAATGGTCCACATGAGTCAAATCGCATGTTAAAAATTACTATGACACTCTGTGTGATATGAAAATCTGGCAACCTCAATCTTGATGCTTTGGCTCAGCTGTAGCAAGTTGTTTATATGTAGTTTGCACAACACAGGGTGAGAAATGAACAGTGCTGGATTGAGAAGCCTGCCAAAATTGTTGTAGTAAGCGATTGGACTCACGTAGAATATTAAGTTTCATGTGATCGAGCAATTTAAATTTCTCGTAACCGATGTAAAATAAAAACGTTAGTATCTTAGATAGGAAATGATTTCAGTAATTTTTGATGCAAGAATCGTGTTCTACAAGGAATTCTGGTTAAGAAACATAAATCAAAAATTTGTACCTTGTCCAGTGGTCCATTCTTCAAATTGAAGGCGTCTGTTTTCAAAATTTCATGGGGATTAAACCATCTTGACAATATCATAAGCATTGTGGAGATCAAATTTATTTTCTGAATGAATTATTGCTCAAACAAGTGAAATTTTTCTTTTTAAAATATTGTTCATTTTTCAGAGACGTGATCTGCCACAAAAAGCCGAATTCCGAAGTTCTCACCAAACAGAATTACGTAGATAGATTCCGTGTCTTGTTACATTTAGAGGAAATGCAGATTCGAAAAGAGTTGGCGGACTACAATATGAATGATGCAATTCTCTTCAAAGCCCCAACCAATCAAGGGCTCCTTGCTCTTAAGGTATGAGAATTCTCTCCATCCTCAGCGATAGACCAGTAGACACAAATAGGAAGCATTCTAATATATGTTTCCAATGAAAAATTGAACGTCAAACACGATTTTGGCACCGAAAATTGCTGAAGTCAACTCCTAACCAAGATATTTAAGGATTGATGCGTGAATTCAAACCTCCCGCTCATAATAAAGGAAAGCTCTATGTATGTAAAATTTGGCACTAAATGTTGCCGTAATAGTCTCTTCAGCTTGAAAAAATGCCAACCGCAATCTTGGTGCTTCGACTCAGTTCTTGTACGTTGTTTACACTTTAAACAACGCAAGGTGGGGAAGGAACACTGTGATCAAGAAGCCCTCCCTAAACCGTTGCGGCGCGTGATTTGGCTCCTGTAAAATTTGTTTTCTTGTGAGGGAGACATTCAAATTTCCTGTACCCATTGCGAACTGAAAACATTAATATCTTACTGAGGAGTTGATGCAAATAATTTTCCTAACCCAAATCATGTCCTATGTGAAATTTTGGTCGGAAAACATGTATCATTACGTTTTAATTTGCACTTTGTCTAGTGGTTCATTCATAATGTGATTGTGCAGATAAATGGTGACATTGGTCCACATTAACTCATCGAAATTTATTGATACTAAAGCTCAGCAACCATTCTTTGAACATTCTTAGATAAAGTGTGCCCAAAAAGTTCAAACTAAGCTAGAGTTTTGATGGTTCCAAGTTTAAGAAAAGTAATTTAGAGAAAAACAGCTTTTCAAAACTCAAATCTGCCATGTTCAAGATGCAAAGTCAGTAGATCATAATGTTCCTTCATGCCCTTTTTCGATACTTGAATAAACTAAATGGCTGACAACTTTCTCTTTGTGACACTAGAAAGAGTTTTTTGTGAAAATCTCCAAATCCGATTTTTTTACTCAACTCAACGAAAATGGCTGCATTGAAAATTTTGCCCATGTGGACTAAGTTTTCCTTTCCTGTAAACAGTCACAAGTGATGGTTCACCGTTTGTTTTTCCCCATTAATTTTGAATTCAACAATTAATCAAACATGGTTTAATTTTTTTTTATTTAATTTTCATAAAAGTCAAGGGTTACTTTTAAAGAAAATTTCAAATTGAGTTAATGAGAGTCAATAAATATTTTGTGTTGTACCTTGTATCCTGTGAAAAAAAAACCTGAGTGTATGGCCAAAGAACAATACTGCCCGAAGACAATTTTGACGAAAATGAGTCTGCGAGTTAGCTGCATTTTATAGTATAAAATATGTATAGGAGCGCTGTAATGATACTGTAGTAGGAAAAAATTGCAAGAGCAACCTTAAAATTACATGAGTGGCGAAGTTTTTTCTCCTTCCTTTCAAATTATCAGTGTCAGAGGCGGTATTGTTTCTCAGCCATCGCTGAGTTCTTAAACCAAACCCCCTAAGGTGACTTTATTGAAGATTCTACCTCTGAAAATTGTTTAGTACCTGTTGTAATGAATTGTACGGAAGTCTTAATTCGCAGAAGATTATTTTGATAAACAAAGCGGTATTGCTGCTGAAAAACTAGAGATGCAGGTCATTTCTACACAGAGAACAAATTTGAACAGTTTTAAGCGTTATAATCGTTTTATTCAAGATTAAAACGCTCAAAACTGTTTTTAGTGCTCTAGTGCTCAGTGTTTAGTGTCCTAAGTCACTGTCCCGGAGACAATATCATAAACTATCAGGAAAAAAGTTTTTCTGCTTGTAGCAATGTATAAAGAGTTTTTTACTGAGCATTCTTTGTATTAAAATGAAGGGAATTTGCAATACAAAGGCTTAAATTTTAAGATACTTCGTGGAAATTCCTTGTCTTGAAATCTTCTTGAGAGTATCTTATGTACATAGAGCCCCCCTCTTTTCAAGGAAAGGTATTAAGTCAAGGATTCTTTAAATAGCATAGTTGAATTCCAACCCAACAATACAGAGTCCTTGACATATAAAACCGGAAAGCTGTAATTTTCAATCTGTAATGCAACTTTAAATCTAATCTCTCTCTTCTTTTTTAAGATTCCAGGATTAGTTGAGAATCGCCCAAGTGTTGTTCGTGGCGATAGTATTTTTATAAGATCGGACAGAGACAAAGAATTCAGATATGAAGGCAAAGTGGCGCATGTGAACAAAGATTCAGTCGAGCTTCTATTTGATCCTCGGTGAGGTCCATATTTTTCACTTGTATTAGGATATTTGAAAATATCGATGGCTAAGAAACGATTCTGCCTATCTGCAAACTGATGATTTTTCAGGACGAAGATAAAACTTCTCCATTTCTGTAATTTTGAGGTTTGCTTTGCCAATTTTTTATACATTATAGTGCTTAAACGCGGAATTGGAAAAAACTAAAAACATTAGCTTTAGTATTTTATACTGTAGAATGCGGCAAAGTTGCTTACTGATTTTCGCTTAAATTTTCAGTTTAGCAGTATTGTTCCTTAGCCATTGAGATCCTCTTTTGCGTTTTTCACCACTTCAAACCAAGGTTAAGTTATGTCTTTACTTGAAATATTTTAAGAATATTCCTAAGTGAGCGAAGAAAAATCATGCAGGCTTTGTTAAGTGCATAATGACAGTTTGTTCTCTCTCCATAAAATAAAATGTAACAGGAAGTTTGCAACATGGCAATTATACCAATCAATTATACCATCAGTAGTTCGCTTTCAGGAACTCTTAAGCAGAAAGGATAAACCATGGACAAGACCATCTTTTCTGTTATGATAATAACAGTGCTTTTTTTGTTGGCTCTTAAAAATTTCAATTTTTCAACTGAGTACTTAAAAGCCTAAAGCTGCAAAACTGCATAAATGTGTAATTTTCACATAATATCCTTCGCTCAGAGGATGTAAATCATCATAGTTTTCAAGAAATGACGCCAAATAGTTTTCCATATAGTAAAGGAAGTATGACAGGAAGTCTGCAATCCTGAAAACCAAGATAAACGTTTCTGTCGTTGCACCATCAAATCTGTGAGTATGCATTCTTTGCTTTTTCTCCGTTTTTCTTTTTCCTGAGGTTTGCGTTGAAGCGAGAATATTTTATGAAAATATAAATATTCTATAATATATTTTGCAATCCACTTCAATTTTTCACTGAACGCTTTCTTTTAAATTCGACATGATATCTTAATCTTGTTCATTTTATTCAAACAGCTTTTACCGACTGTATAAACCTGGTGATAAGGTTAGTGTTCAGTTCGACATTAACACGCACCAGTTTCAAGTAGCCCACCGAGCCATTGAACGCATGAAAAACTTTGACATTCTGTTTCCTACAAAAGATATCCTCCTGAATGTTGATCCTGATACGCCAATAGAATTCTTTGATGATAAAATCAAGTCCAATCCCGAACAAATGCAAGCTGTGCGGAATTGTGTCGATGGATCATCTTTCCCAGCCCCATACATCATATTTGGACCTCCTGGAACCGGAAAAACATCCACCTTAATCGAAATTGTTAAACAGGTCAGTGTTCCTGCTTCTTTCGAATAGCATAGTCAACACTAAACGCTGTAAAATCTCAGTTGTCATCTCTTTGAAAACTTGGAAAACAATCAACTAATTAACTGCGTTTCCTTAAATCTCTAACGAATATGTTCATGCTTTTTTGGATGCCTGGAGTTGTGGACAGGCTGTGTAAAAGAAATCATAGAAACAGCTTAAAAATGTCATCAAAGTCAAACTTGTTTCCTCGTACTCAGGTGTGCAAGTTTGGAAGGTATCAGTCTATTTTTTTTTTTTTTTAGTTTCTATTTTAAATTTTGTGGTATATTTTGCAATTTCTCTCTGTTTGTCAAAACTTATTTTAATTTGTTTAAATTATCCTGCTGGACATGTTTTTGAAAAAATAGATGAATGGTTCTCCATGTAGATAACAGTATCTCTCCAAACGCTGTCCATCGAATGAAAATCAACTGTATCTTTAATTTTAAATAATCTTTTCTCTCTGACACTCTGTGCAAACAATTTTTATAATAGTGACTAAAAGCATAACATAAACATTAGTGTAGTAACCGTCCTGTAATTAATTTTGAATTTACATTTTTCATATAGCTTTGGCTGCGAGCAAGTGACCGCAATTTTAAAATCATGATTTGTGCGCCTTCCAACTCAGCTGCTGATCTTATCACTGAGTTGCTTCTACAATCAATCCCTGTGAGTGATGTATACCGTTTATACTCAGTTTCAAGATCCTATGATTCCGTTCCGGAGAAAATCAAGAATTCCACCTCTTGCAATTATGATGGTAACGGGAGAGTATGGTACCCTGAAGTAGGTAAACTTAAGGCATACAAAATTATAATCACAACATTGGTGGCATCTGCAAGGTAAATATCAATACCATCACCTGTTTTTAATTTTTTTTTAAATGTTAGCTGAGATTTATTAACACCATGCCAATAATCGCCACCTGAAAAAATATCTACTGGCGTGAGGCTTACAATGCCCCGAAAAGTCCTTGAATTTACTCTAATGGACCATCAGGTAAGGTACAAAACTGAGCACCGTGACAAATGTTTCCTCTTCGAAATTTTACGTAGACAATGATAGACACATCCAACGCACACATGAAAACTTCCCAAACTCAACTCATAGGTTCGAATAAAACAATATTGTTTCCCCTTGTTACTTTGCTCTTCGTGCTCATATAAAAACCAGTGTCTATGCCAGTCAAATCAAGCAGTAAACTGATTTCAATATAATTCGGAAAATTTTCGTGTCTGTTGACTTTTGTTGGTCTGAGATTGAAGGTCTTTTGAGAAAGACGACAGAAGAAATGTGTGGAAGACCAAGTTCTACTTATTTGCCTAACATGTTGGTTTCTTTGCCTGATTTGGCCCTTACAAATAATGGTTTTATGCAAGCCGGAACTTATTTTCTGTTCATAGTGTGAACTGTGATTGTTTATGGCCCTTTTTTTAATTTTGGAAATTTTTGATACAATCAACGTTTTCTTTTTGAAATTCACGTTAAAAAAACATGCGCTGTAGTGCTGGATTTCTTATCCGGTAGTGCTCCATTTGGAAAAATTTTGTACCTCTTCTTGAAACCAGCCTTTAATTATTATTTTAACATCTGGTCTTTTTATTTGCGACCATTTAAAATTTTGGTCTTTTCCTCTCTTTTTTGATAAGGACTTTTGAAGTTTTGAATAGCCTTATCAACAGGCTCAGTGCCAAAAAGTTTTTTTTTGAGTTATCAACGCTCGTATTTCAGATAACTGCTGCACCTCATACCTCTAACGTATCTTTTGGTTGTCACAAGTACTACTTTAGTGTTATAACGCAGCATGCTGTCCTTGATGATTAGATCAAAATGTCTTGTCTAACTCAATTTTCGACTTTTTGGCACCCAGCCCATAATTGATTATCGGTCTTCACATGTCCTGCTCACCTTTTAACATAGGTATCTACTGACCAAAAGTCAGGAATAAGAAATAAAGTAAGAAAGAATACAGGTGAATAAGAGACATTTGCATCCACAAGCCATTCACTAATTCTCCTATAATTTTATGGTAGTCTTAAATTTTTTTTTTTTTTTTTTTTTTTTAAATTTCAGTAAAAGCTGCGATTTTCAATAACTAATCCCTTAAAAGTCTTTTGTTTTAATTTTAAAGTGGCGTTATGAGTCCCATGGTGGTAGAAAAATGCTTGAACTTTTCCTCGTCAGACGGTATCAGTCTCTAATTCCGACTTTGTTTTCCTTTTAATTTTGTATTAGATTGGTAACGGCCGGTCTTGGGCTGGACAACCATTTCAGCCACATCATAATAGATGAAAGTGGTCAGGCTGATGAACCACAGGCCTTAATTCCGATCTCTGGATTCGCTGGATTCAAACCGAAAGACGGTGTCCGCCGAGCTCAAATTATTCTTGCTGGAGATCCCAATCAATTAGGACCTATCATCTGCGGCCGTTTATCTGAGCTTATGGGGCTTAGTAAGTACCTAAAAAAAGTGATGATTTTGAAATTTAAATCCTAAAATTTCATCCTCTTAATCTATCAAGTGTGCTTTCATGATGTTTCTACACGCACAAAGCTTTAGAAATGTTGAAATGGATAAGAACTTTGAGATCGCTAATTAGGAGGATGAATTTACTATGTGCTTATGGCTCTGCTATAACATCAGGAAGAAGTACATCAATCAGACACTTTGAAAAAGTGCAAAGCAGAGAGTTAACAATGATAATCTAGTAAATTTCGCAAGAGGGTGTGTCTGTTTACCCGAAAACAACCTTTTTTTTTTAATTTAATGTACTGCCTGCCTCGTCCATCAAAGGTATTATGAGACAAGCCCAATGCGGATATTTTCACATGGTCGTCTTTACATTTAGTGGGGTTTCTTACCACTTGAGGCTAGCAGCTAATGAAGCAAATTTGAATGAACGCGGCAGAAATTTCAAATTCAAAACAGGGAGGGAAATTCAAAATTTCATGAAGTCAAATTAATCGATACATTTGTGATTAATTTTTCAATTTGATCATGATTATAAAAGTGAATCGCAATTACGATTGACGTTCGATTAATACCCACAGCTCTAAACAAGACATGAAGTATTTTTCATGCCAAAAGTGCAATAGTTGCATCTGATTTTCATTAGGTGTGCCATTAGAACAAATCAGTTTGAACATTGCAGGAGTAATGCTAGAGCAAATTAGTTAGTCTATATTTACTTTGATCCATCCTTGTTTGTCCATGTGTTGATAAAAAAATAGAGGAGGAAATAAGTATAAATTGTTACATTTTGGGTTTATTTTACAGATATTTAATGTTTGTTGTCTGTAATTTTTTGTTTTTTCCAATTTTTCAGACATTTCACTTCTAGAAAGGTTAATGAGCCTTGAACTCTACCAAAAAAACAACAATAAGTACAACCCTAATGTCATCACAAAGTTGGTTCAAAACCACCGTTCCCATGGTGCTGTGATTGAAGTCTCCAATATATTGTTTTATGACAATGAACTGAAGGTAAATAAAAGATTGCTGGAAAGTCAGTGTTACAAGCTGGTTCACTTTAATTAAAACGTATGATGTAGGCTCAAAATAAGATGAAAAATCTGCTTAGTTTTGTTATCTCTAAAGGATGTGCAAGCCCCGTTTATTGGTTCAAATTTTTTCGGATCAAAGGAGTATGAAATTGCAAAGCTTGTAAAAAAAGTTTATCACAATTCTAATTAGTGGCTTTTTGAAATATATTGCTAATGTATTATCTATGGATGTGTGTGAATGATGATTTGCAAGAGCAGAAGTAGTACACAATGAATGGTTCAAAACATTCTTTTTTTGTATTTGACTACAAGTAATTTAAAACCACCAATATACGGAGATAATACAACCAATATGAAAGTATTTCAATTTTTGTTGTTGATAATGCTGTTTTTTTGCCTAAAATTCGCACCATTATTCAGGACAAGATACCAATGCATGCAAGTTAAATAACATAAGAAAAAGTAGAACTATCTAATCATTCCCAATTCATAAGACTTCAGAACACCAGTATTGTTACAAAATATCTCGTAATTTCTATTAATTTAACCTCCAAATTTTTATTAGTCCTGATTGCTCCATCTCATTAACGGTCGTTTTATTACAGGTCAATGGAGACAAGAATATAATAAATATGGCAGTCGGCTGGTCTCAGTTACCAAATAAAAACTACCCTGTCATATTCCATGGTGTTAAAGGCGAAGAAGAACGTGAAAGCTCCTCACCGAGGTAACTTTCTCAACGGAAGACTTTACTCTTTACTTAGTATTATGTAATCAGCGAGGAGGTTTGGGGTTTGTATGAAAAGTGCGTAACAAGTGCGTTTTCCAGGACAAGATACTAACGCGAGAAAGTTAAACAACGTAAGAAAAAGTAAAACTATCCAATCATTCCTATCTCGTTAGATTCAAGATTAGGAAAGGAGATCATAAAATTGGGAAAAGTATCCTGGGCAATGACTAGAAGGCTCCTTATTTCTTTGAACAAGGAGTGAAGATGTATCCAATTTTAAAAAGAGCTGTACAGACTTTTTCCAAAGCTTTGAATGTGTTTTAATTTTTTTGAAGATATTTGACATAAGCCTCTGATCCATTAATACTGCTAAAAATAATGAAATCAATAATCAAATGATGCTCTTTTGAATCTTAACAAAACCTTACATGTTAAAGTCCTTAATCATGGAATATCAAAATAATACAGACTAATTTTGACACCACTTTTTTCTGTTAAAGTTGGTTTAATCGAGCAGAAATCGTTACCATCGTAAAATATTTGAAAGCGATCCTCGAACCAGGAAGTTTCAATGGACAGACAATCAAGCAGGAAGATGTTGGAATCATTTCTCCATATCATAAGCAGGTATGAGTCCTATTTAAAATTTTAGTCAATAACCAATAAACAAAATTTCAGAAGGTGAATTCATATCATGACTTAAAAGGGACGGCAACCTCAAGAACAAGTTTGGCTAAATCAACCAAGAAAAGTGTGCAATGCTGAAATCTGTTTGCGAATACCTACTTTTGTTGAGTCGCTATCGCGAAAAAATAGCTGAGCGCGTGACGTCATGAGCTCCGTCTGGCATTTCGCTGTCTGCACTCTGCATTCTGTCTCTGGTGGCAAGTGGTCGACGCGCGTTCGTGAAAAGTTATTAGTTCGCCCCAATCTCGCTCGTTCTGGGCCGACTCTTTTTTCTTTGGTTAGTTCAAGACAACTTCGCAGCACCAGACAGCAAACGTGCCAGACTTCAAGTTGTGTGTGTGTGTGAATTGCAGTCAGACCAGTCAGACTTACAATCTTTTATATCTCTGCCGATTTTGCGAATTTTTCATTCGGGACAAAACCATTTTGCTTCTGATACCTTTCTGCTTCAATTTTCAACACTATCTCATTTTCGATTTTAGGGTTGCCCTCCCCTTTAAAGGGCTAAACTCATGAGTCGAAAATAACTCATCAGATATTGGGATTTAAGAGATGTGCCATGAATCTTGGTGTCAAAACTAAATTTACTCTTTCACCTATTTTATTTCTTCTTTTTGACTGTTGACCAGCAAATATAGCAAGACAAGAATATTTTTTAAAAGTGGAAAAAAAGGAATCTTGGAATCACGGAGTTTCTCTTTCACTGACCTCCCAACTGATTTGCATCACTCTTCAATCAGACCTTTTTTTCATCTGAATTGCAGAGGACCGCAATACTTTTTTATCTCTGTCCACTGTTGTGGTCCAATCCATTTCATGCGTTCCAGTAAAATGCTTGAATTGCTTCTCTGAGGCGGTTGTCGAGCGGTTACTTGCAATTTTATCTTCAAGCCAAACCGCAGATAACCTAATCGGTAGCGTTCCATATTGATAAAAAAAAAGCCCTGTAAGCTTTTTATAGGAATATAAATTACGGAACATCAATTTTTTGTTTTTTGCCATTCTTATTGTCATACCGTCATAAATTTGTAAGACTTTCGCAATTACCTCATGTCGATCGCTCAGTCGAAGACAGAAATGAGCCACAAATCAACTTGCTATAGGGTTTCCAGTATTGGATCAACCCAACAATAATTGGTTATTATTTCGTCTTAATTCTTGATAACTGATTTTGAGGCATTTGCTTTCAGGTTATGAAATTGCGGCAAGCTTGTGAGCTTCAAGGCTGGGCAACAGTTAAAGTCGGTTCTGTCGAAGAGTTTCAAGGCTCTGAGAAACTCGTCACCCTTGTAAGCACCGTTAGGTCCAAAGCAGAAGTCTTGAACCAAGACTTGAAGTACAATTTGGGATTCCTGAGCAACCCCAAGGTATTGATTTGTTACGCTCATCAGTTTCAAACGAATCCACAAGCGTCAGAAAAATAGAGCTAAACAATAGGGGTTTTAATGGGAAAGACAGATGCTTTTCTCTCCAGTTCAATTTGTCTTTGTCTCGCCTAATTTGATAAAGTTCAGAATAATGATTCCAAGAATTTCAAATTTATAACGGATGATAAACTAAAAATCTGAAGTCAGTTGTAAAAATCACCTTTCTTTGTATTTTTACTATGCTACACAGTATTACACTGATCATCAAGGTGAATCTTTACCACTTTCGAGAACCATTCATTAGTTGGTCATTTGATAATTTCTGTATTTTAGGACTCTTTTTTAAAAGAATAAAATAAACTAAAAATCTAAAAGTTTCTTCTGGTAGGTAAAATTATCTGGTATACTGGTATCAAATTGTTCTAGAAAGTGCTCTAAGAGCACCCAACACATCATTGAGCTGTTGCGTACTTTTTCACCATGAAGAATTCCATTGCCATTTTGTTAGCATGACATTATCTGCCCTTTCATGTATGACTACCACTATAAAAGTTAATATCATAGAATTGACTAAAGCTCAGTTCACAGAATACTTTCGAGCGACGCATTAAAAAAATTCACTTGTTTGCATCAACGCTTTCATCCAAGAATATCCTAGTACTTGTGCCATCTAGTTGCTCAAATATTTGATTTCGTCAAGCTTACTAATAAATAAGTTTAAAAAAAAAAAAAAAAAAAAAAAAAAAAAAACACTAAGAAGTAGCTTCAATTGTTTGTAAGAAGGTGGAGAAATGGTGCTGGGCCCACACCATTTTGTGGGGAGAACAAGGCCAAGAAATCCCAAAAATCATTCAATCAGAGTCAAAAAGATTTTTGCTCTAATGAGTACAAAAAATAAAAAAAACTGAGGGGAGAGAGAGTCCAGCTCAGGCACTTTGCATTGGAAAATTATTGATTACGGAAAACTGCCTGAGCTGAATACTCTCTGAAAAATCTTGTTGACTCTAATTGAATAATTGTTGGAATTTCTTGGCCTTGTTTTCCCCGCAAAATGGTGTGGACCCAGCACCATCTATCCACCTTGTCTAATAAATAAGTAAACCCCCCCTCTAACTGTGCCTTTCTTTTTTTCAGCGTCTGAATGTTGCCCTAACGCGAGCCAGAGCTCTCTCAATTGTAGTCGGTAACCCAGATGTCCTGTTATGGGACCCACGATGGAGGACCTTCATTTTGCAATGCCGCAGCAAAGGCGCCGTTTCCAAAAAAGGGTATTTCAACAAGGAAGCATTGGAACAATCAAGGGAGGTGCCAGATCTAGCACAGGATATGGATGGACTTAGAATCTGAGCGTAATTGTAAGTCTGATGGCACTGTAAGAACTGATATTTTCTCAATTAGAAACCAGCATTTCGACGGTGTACGTCGGCAATCACATAACTCGGTTTGCGACGTCGCAGACTTCCTATCATACTTTATTTTTTAAATGGAAACCTACTCAACAACAATTCTTAAAAACTGTCGTGATTTTTCTTCTCTATGTGAAGAAAATTCTGCAAAAACTTAAAGATTTGATGTCAATTTGTTCTTCTTTAAAAAAATATTATAGAGGCGGAGATTTTCAGACACCGCAAACGAGTTATGTGATTGCCGACTTGCACCGTCGATTTAGTTACTATTGAGAAATAAACAACTCAATTATCAGTGAGATCGAAAACACACCAATTTGGCAACTCGAAAATGCACAATTTCCATTATAAACGGTCAATTTTTTATGAAGGTCCTTGAAGTTGGCGCATCTGTTCCAACTTGGACCTTTGAAATGTCTGTAAGTGCTTGTCCTCTGGCACCAAAAATCTTTTTCCTCAGACTAATGTCTTCATCCACTGTGCAGTTTTGTGTGTGTCTTGATTACTTTCATTTTTCAGAGTTGGTGTGTTTTTGTTCTCACTGATGCAACTAGCCTATTTTCACTTTCCAGCCTAAGTATCACACGTGCCATTACTACCAAACTTTTCAAACTTGTTCAATTTTTTTCTCAAAAAGTAATGAACAGAATCACTTGCAAATTTTACCCAATATTTCTTTTGCGATGAAATGAATCACTGAAATTTTCATGAAAATGTGTTCAAATGGTTCAACGGAAAAATTATATTAATATAGAGATGTCTGGAAACATAGCGTCTGAGTGTAAATAGCACTTGTGATACTTTGGCTGGAAAGTAACAATGTATGCCGTGGCAGTGTTCTGAGTTCTGAGGAATAACTTATACATAAATTCTTAAAGCTTGACACTGAAGGTTTTCAATAATTTGAAAAAATGAATCAGTTAATACAAAAACTTTTAGTCAAAAACCGTCTTTTTGAAAATAATGAAACTAGGTGCAGAAATTTCGAAATACCGCAATTGAGTCACGTCGTTTCGCACTTTGGCCATTGAAATGTGTCTATCCATGGGAAAACGGGGCCATAACGCATGCACTCATGCAGGCAAGGGGTCGTGCACATTCCTTATGGAGATGTGTGCCGCGATCAATTTCAAAGGACCCTACAACAAAACGGCCAAATCGGCCTAAACACGGAATCGTACGATTTTCTCAGGAATGATAGAGGGTCTTCCCAGACACTCAAAACTGGTCATATTTTTTGCCTAACCCCCAGGGAAAAGGGGGGAGAGGGGGTCAAAGTCAAAATCTTTAAATTAGCATAACTTCTCAACGGTTTGTCATAGAAAGATGATCTTTGTGTCAAAATTTCCAGAAAAATGAGAGCTTTCAGAATATAGGTATGAAATTAATTAAATTTTAAGATTTGACCCACTTTTGGAGCATTTTACAAGGTCCCCCTTTCGTAAATTTTCGTTTTTTGAGATTTTCGGTTGTTTGGTTCGCACGGATCAAAACAAAGACAATTTCAAATGAAAGTAGAGCGTTTAAGCTTTAAAACAAGCCCAAGATAATCTTAGGGAAACGATTAGAAGCGGAGTTATGAGTCTTCAAAGTTGACGCGGCGCGCGGGAACCTTGTATGTTCCGAGTCTCAAGGTCACCTGCGCGCCCCGGATTGCCTGCAGGTTGCAAGTTTTTGTGTTTTTATGCTTCTGTAGGTCATTTTTAATGTAAATCATTCAATGAAGATAGAAGAATCGAAATTTTTTAATTTTACGGGAGGAGCGAGAGGGGGCTTAGAGTATCAACCATTATGTCCATCATACCTCATTAAACATTTGCTGACGATGACGATTCTGCTCTTATAATTTAGAAGAAACCATGGACCCTCAGTTCAAATATACATATGCTCCATACAGAACTGAACCATTTAGAAATTACAACCCATTGATGCCAAATTTTGGGGTACCCCTAATTTTAAAATTTTTTAATTGAGCTTTAAGCTACAGCGCTTGACGGAACTCACTTGGTAAAGCCAAATAGTTTCTGGTAGAAGCAGACGAGCTTTGAGCTTCAAGACAAGTCTCAGTTATTCTTGAGGGGGCTATTTGAAACGCAGTTAAAATTTTTTGACGTTAGTGTGGTGTACCTCGCCGAAGGCCCATTGTGTAAAATTAAAAAATTCTGATTAAACTATCTTCATTGAATGATTTACATTAAAAATGACCTACAGAAGCATAAAAACACAAAAACTTGCAACCTGCAGGCAATCCGGGGCGCGCAGGTGACCTTGAGACTCGGAACATACAAGGTTCCCGCGCGCCGCGTCAACTTTGAAGACTCATAACTCCGCTTCTAATCGTTTCCCCAAGATTATCTTGGGCTTGTTTTAAAGCTTAAACGCTCTACTTTCATTTGAAATTGTCTTTGTTTTGATCCGTGCGAACCGAACAACCGAAAATCTCAAAAAACGAAAATTTACGAAAGGGGGACCTTGTAAAATGCCCCAAAAGTGGGTCAAATTTCAAAATTTAATTAATTTCATACATATATTCTGAAAGCTCTCATTTTTCTGGGAATTTTGACACCAAGATCATCTTTCTACGACAAACCGTTGAGAAGTTATGCTAATTTAAAGGTTTTGACTTTGACCCCCTCTCCCCCCTTTTCCCTGGGGGTTAGGCAAAAAATATGACCAGTTTTGAGTGTCTGGGAAGACCCTCTATCATCCCTGAGAAAATCGTACGATTCCGTGTTTAGGCCGATTTGGCCGTTTTGTTGTAGGGTCCTTTTTTTATTGCATTAAACTCGTTTTTAGATGTGGATCTAAAGTCATCATTGCTCCAACCTTTTACGTGGCACCATTTTCCAAGTACAGCGCAGCGGTATCTATCTCTCAGCACTTGCTGAAAATGAGGAAAACTTCGCAGTGTTATCTCGGATTCCACACACTTTTTTGTTTCACCATCCAAATCAGACTCTTTTTCTCTCTCTTTTCCTCACCTATCACCAGCTGAGGTTTTTATCATTAAATTGCTACGCTGCCTTCATCTGTTGAAGAAAATATCGAAAGTTCTACAGCAGATTGAGTGAAGATAGTGCAATGGTAACTTTGGAGCAGCATTCATAGACGAGTTAAATGTAATTAAAAATTGGAAATCGATCAAGGTACACACTTCCATAAGGAGTGTGTAGGGTCTGTTATTGGAAGGGCAATTTTGACATGTTGTATACTCCGTAAATCTGGTGAAATAACTTGCCATCAGCCAAGTCAACTTCTAGGTCAATAAATGGCATAAAATTTCTTTTTGATCTAAAAATTTTGAATCTCGATCCTGGTAAATCACACTTTTAGGGCTTTTTCTGAAGATCATGTTTTCTAACTATCATGGGCACCGTTTTGATCTGAAATTTTTAGACAGTTTTTGTGTATGACAGTTTTCGTGTTGACACTCCTCTAGACAGTGGTATCAGTAGCGCAAGTTTGAGTTTCACGGTACTAAGATCCTTCCTCTCTATGTGGTTTCTAATTCAGAACAATCTCTCTACTTTTCATGTGTTTAATCAGGCATCCCTGCTGGCTCAGTCGGTCCATAATATTTTACTATTTTCTCAAACTTTCCTTAAATTTACTAATATATTGTATATTTTGGTTTTGTTTCAGGCCCCAAGGTATCTTATTTTCATGTTTCCTACATTTCGTCACCTTGTTCAAATTAAAATTTCCTACAGTTCGTCATCTGTTTCAAATTAAAATTTATTTTTATAAAAATGTTTTTGTGTAAACTGAAAGTTTTTAACTCGAAAATGAGCTTTTTTTATTCTCCTACGATTTTACTAACTAAATTATTTTCCAAGTGTTGATTTTTTAAATACCTCAATTCTTTTAAAAAATTCTGTTACCGTATCATATCAACACTATTTTTATTCCATGATGTTACCATTATCTCTGTTAAATTCATTACTAAATTCTTACCATTGTTACTTTCATGTTAAATTTTTTAACCGCCAAGTTCATAGCCTGGTCTTTGTGACAAGCTGTTATTTCAACATCCTTACCTATTTTTTTAAGCATCCTGTTAAAGTACTTGTTCTAGTTCTAAGTGCCATCTAGTTTTATCTTTTAATTTTCTGCTGTACCAGATGTGTCTTTTACAATTATTGACAATTTTTGCCGTATTCGGAGTTTTTAAGCATAATAGTGAAAAGAATGTTTACTTTCTCAAGTCACCTGATATTTTCTTACAAGAGAACACATGTTTAAATTACTCCAATGTATTTACTTTTCAAATTATTTCTACCAACCAGTACATGGTAATTATTGGTAGGCATTCTAAGTAGCATTATATTCCCTTTCAGTTGCATTTGTTAAGTTAGATGTTATTCTTTTTTTATTTCATTTATTCATTGTTGCCTGCAAGCGTCTGTGCCAAGTTAGAGCACTCTTTTTAAATACAAATTTCACAACTGCCTTTTGAATTTTGTTGAACACTCAGTGTTATCAGAAATCTATTTTTGTGTAACCTTCCTTATTACATATTTTCTTAAGTCTTGCAATGAAAATTCATTGTCCATTGTGTGATCATCAATCAATTGATGCTAACTACTTTTCGCTCCGCACACTGTTACATTCCTTCATCCATTTCTCTGGTTCTTAAATGTAAGTTTCAATAAATTTTTTTATAATCTTTTAAGTTTGGACTTAATTATTTCAGTCCTTGAGTAACCTCATCAAAAACATTACTTGGAAAATTATACTGCCTATTCAAAAATGTGAGATTTGTCCTGGATAAGCACTGAACATCTTCCACCCAAGAGGCATCTTCGTGGTGCTTAAATAATAATGATGTCAAATTTTGGCTCAATCCATCAAGTTGTCCTTCTTCCACAAGTGGGCAAACTTTGAGATGTTGCCAGCATTGGCAAAATCGGTCTCATTTTAGGTTTTATAAACATCAACAACAGTTAAAAAATTTTTTTTGACTCTAATTATAATTTTAAGAACTTCTTGGCTTTGTTTTCCCCGCAAAATGGTGTGGACCCAGCACCATTTCTCCACCTCGTTTAAATATTATCTATGATGATAATTTACTTGCTCCATCTGACTCTCACCAGCTATCTCATCAACACCAAATGCATTATCATTTATCTGCAAGATTACTACGAGCATGGATCAAAAGTATATTTTCTGGCGGCTGTTTAAAATAGAACCCGTGTTACCATGTTCCGGAAATTAAGGGTTATTAGAGAATCATTAGGAGCCTTCACTTGCCGCATCCTATCCCAAAAATTTTTTTCCTGTCACCATGACATTAATCTCAAAGCCCTTAAGCACACAAAGTCACCAGGTCAGTTTGAGTCTCTTTAAGACTTAGAAATCCGCACTCTTAAAGACCAAACGTCTTTATCATCTACACTCCCTTCCCGCCCAACACGAAAATGTTTCCAAAATATTGCAGCAACATTGTTATTATATTTCCGACAACATTGCTGCAATATTGTCACAATATTGCCACAATATTGCAGCAATGTGCTAGGGTCCTACCTAACAATATTGTTGACAACATTGTCGGGGACGTTTTGGCAACATTGTCGACAATGTTGCCAAAATATTTCGAAAATATTGCACAAATATTGCGATCAGGGTACATATTCCATATCCGTGTACGCGCTCTCTAGGAGACACCTTTGGTACTAATTTTCTTTCTAATGTACATATGCGTCCAGGTTGTGAATCGTAGAGTTATTATTTACCTTAAAATCCGCGCCGTCCTAGTCGGGATTAGAACCCACGCCTCGGGATGGAGTTGATCTCCGAAATCCAGTACTTTACCACCAGACCAGCCAGGCTTGATGTAGATGGGCCCGTAAATTCAATCTCTTAACTATCGCAGGCCTCTGAGTCCGTAATAT